CTTGGTTGTCCTCTGTACTTTTTCTAATCTTTTCTGAGGTGAAAAGCCCGGAACTGCACACAGTCTTCAAGATGTGGGCACAACATGGATTTACATAGTGGCGTGATGATGTGTTTTGTTTCATTTTCAATTCCATTCTTAATGATACACCCCTGGAAAAGGGCCAACATAGTTAGTGCCTCTCTTTTTTTGTTTTTTTTAAAAAGGCAAAAAGGAAGACCCAGGGAATTACAGACAGGAAGCCTGACCTCAATACCTGGGACACTACTGGAGCATAAGGAAGTCCTTTTGTTAACATTTGGAGAAGGAAAGGCTGGTCTTGAGCAGTCAGCAAAGCAGTCAAGAACAAATTGTGCCAAATAAATTTGATGTCCTTCTTCAAAGTAACTAGCCAAGTAGATGAAGGGAATGCAGTGAGTATAGGGTAAATGGACTTCAGTAAGGCCTTTGATAAAATCCCACATGACATTCTCATAACCAAATTGGAGAAACACGGGCTAGACAATATAAATGGATCCATATCAGAAAGGTAGGAGGTTTCAAGTGGAGTCCCACAGGAATCTGTCCTGGGCCCAGTGCTATTCAACACATTTAGTAGTAACCTGGATACTGGAATAGAGAGCTTCCTCAGCAGATCTGGAGAGAGCACAAAGCTGGGAAAGACTGCAAACTCAATGAAGGATGGGGGCACAATGCACAAGGTTCTGGATAGACTGGAAACATGGGCTAGAACCAACAGGATGATGTTCAATACTGATAAGTGCAAGTTACACTGTGGGAAGAATAATCAAAAACAAATACAAGATAGCTGATAGTTGGCTGGAAGGTAGCATTTACGAAAAAGTATTTAGGAGTCTTGATGGATTACAAACTCAGTATGACTTTGCAATGTGATGCAGCTGCAAAAAAAGGCATATGTAGTTTTGGGCTTCATCAGCAGAAGTATTAGGTCCAAGACATGGAAGGTGACAGTGCTTCTTTATTCAGTACTGGTTAGGTCTCATCTAAAGTACTGTGTGCAGTTCTGGCCTCTTCATTTTAAAAAGGACACAGAAAAGTTAGAGGGGGCCCAGAAGTAGGTGACAAAAGGTAAAGGGCTTAAAGGCTACCCAAGAGGAAAAGCTGAAAGCTACGTCCACCTTACAGAAAAGGAGCTTAAGAGGGCACATGATAGCAGTCTTCAAATATCTGAAGGGCTGTCATAAAGAACACCAGTAATTCTTCACTGCAGAGAGTAGGATGCATAGCAATGGTTTGAAAATGCAGCAAAGTAAGTTTAGATTGGATATCTGGAAAAGCTTGTTTGCTCTTAGAGCACTGAGGCAATGGAACAGATAGCCTAGGTAAATTGCGGAATCTCTTTCATTGAAGACTTTTAAAAAGGTTAGACAAGCATTGTTCAAGGATGATCTAGGAGTGGCAGTGCCTTGAGTGTTTTGTGAAGTGTAATAATTGACAACCCAGAACCTCCTACAATCACTGGGAGATCACAAGAAATGTTCTGCAGGCCAGAACAGATGGTCATTGGAGAGGATAATGCACAGCAGTAAGAGAAGGATGCAGAGCTCCACAACTGGCTTAGTTATGAAAGATTAAAGGGGCTGGATAAGTTTATAGAGAGGACAGAATGACAGAAAGGGCATTCTGGCACTCTAGTTTTGGAGTGTGATAGGTGGACTTGTTTGCTGTCTCCAGATTATGGAGAAGAGTGGAAGGTGTTTGGTTTTTCCCACGCTTCTGGGCTTTGCTGGTTGCCACCTGGAGCCAGGAAGGAAATTTCCCTTCCTGTTGCTAAAGATGTCAGGGGTTTTCCCTCCACTTCCTCAGAAGCTGTAGGTGTTGGCTGCAGCCAAGCCTGGGGCTTTTGACAGGGGTGTACTGATTCTCCTGGAGGAACTAAAACTTGGGAGCTTCTTGGTTTGAGGTTCATGCTCCTCTGTTCATGGTCAGAATGATATCGTATTTGGGATTAAAAATGGAATTTTACCTCATGGTCAGGTTGGTATGGACTGTGGGTTTTTTGCCTTCCTTTGTAGTGGGGAGCGTCGTCCTCTTCCTTGAATATCCAGAGTGTATTTTAACAATATTTGCAACAACAGAACCCTGACACTACCCTCATCTCCCTGTTTTACCTGTGGCAGGTTAGGGGACTGTTGGCATTTTGGGTCAATGTGCTTTTCAGTTGTGCAATGGGGTTGTTACACTGAAATTGGTTAGACAGGCACTTGTCTAGGATGGCTTAGATAAGGATGATTTTGCCTTGAGCAGGGGGTGCAGACTGGAAGACCTCCTGAGGTCCCTTCTAGCATTACTTTTCTAAGATTCTGAGGGGCTTTTTGGTTGCTGCTGCTCATTGGACTGATGTTTTTAGAGAACTATCTACAATTTCTCCAGGGTCTCTTTCCCGAGTTCCCAGATTTCATTAGTCCATGAATTATCTTTTAAAAATGCTGTAAGGGCCTTGATGGAGGACTGAACTCACATCCCGAAGTTTGGAAAGCCCTGCAAACTATTCCTATACATGTCTAATTATTTTCTCCAGTAGAATTAGAGGAACCCAACAGTCATGGATTCCATTTACATTTTTCATTTGTCTCATGTGGGCTCAGTACAGGGGCAGAAGCAGAAGCAAAAGTCTTTGATCTTCTTTGGTAAGGAGGAGGGGAAGGAAGTGACCCTACCCACTCCTTTTAACTTTGGTGTGGGGAAAATGCACATGCACAAGCATGTACACATACACAGATTCTGGACCTGCCTAACCTTCTTCACTGAAGTCCTTATCCTGGGCTGCTGCTTTGCTTGGGGAGATGAACAGCAACAACAACAAATTCTGACTGAAGACACTTGGAAATTAAATTAATGCAGCTGAGCTCAGAGTAACCTGCCTCCCTATAGAGAGGCAGGATTCAGCCACATGGCTGCAGTTACTGCACTACTGCAGCATAGATTCATAGATGTTGGGGGCAGAAGGGACCTCAATAGATCATCGAGTCCGACCCCCTGCATAGGCAGGAAAGTGTGCTGGGTTCAGATGACCCCAGCCAGATGCCTATATAACCTCCTCTTGAAGACCCCCAGGGTAGGAGAGAGCACCACCTCCCTTAGGAACCAATTCCAGATTTTGGCCACTCTAACTGTGAAGAAGTTCTTCCTAATGTCCAGTCTAAATCTGCTCTCTGCTAGCTTATGGCCATTATTTCTTGTAACTCCCAGGAGCATCTTGGTGAGTAGAGCCTCACCAATTCCCTTCTGTGCCCCCATGATGAACTTATAGGCAGCCACAAGGTCACCTCTCAACCTTTTCTCTTGTGGAGGCTAAAGAGGTGCAGGTACACTAGTCTTTCCTTATAGGGCTTGGCCTGCAAGCCCTTAACCATATGGGTGGCCCTTCTCTGGACCCTCTCCAGGTTATCCACATCCCTCTTGAAGTGCAGTGCCCAAAACTGGACACAGTATGCCAACTGTGGTCTGACCAGTGCCCGATAGAGGGGAAGTATCACCTCCTTGCTTCTGTTTGTCATGCATCTGCTGACGCATGATAAAGTGCAGTTAGCTTTGCTGATGACTTCGTCACACTGACAACGCATGTTCATCTTGGAGTCCACTAGGACTCCAAGATCCCTTTCCGCTTCCGTGCTGCTGAGCAGGTCATTTCCTAGGCAGTAGGTGTGCTGGATATTTTTCCTCCCTAGGTGCAGCACTTTGCATTTCTCCTTGTTGAACTGCATTCTGTTGTTGTCTGCCCATTTGTCCAACCAGTCCAGGTCTGCCTGTAGTTGTTCCCTGCCCTCCGGCGTGTCCACTTCTCCCCACAGTTTTGTATCATCCGCAAACTTGGATAGAGTACACTTCACTCCCTCGTCCAAGTCACTGATGAAGACACTGAAGAGTATCGGTCCAAGGACTGAGCCCTGCAGGACCCCACTGCCCACACCCTTCCAGGCTGATACTGACCCGTCCACCACCACTCTCTGGGTACGACCCTCTAGCCAATTTGCCACCCACCGGCCTGTGTAATCATCCAAGTCACAGCCTCTTAATTTGTTCATCAGTATGGGGTGGGATACCGTATTGAAGGCCTTCCTCTAACATGATACGTGTAATATGTGTTTGATAGACACTACTCAGGGATGTTTGTATATACTGTGTAAAAATGAGATGACATGCAATATGGTATCAATTCCGATGGTTTTTTTTTTAATGTTATTTGAAATGTTGTATTATCCTTTTGTGAGGCCTCTGTTGGAGGTCATTTTGAGCCTTTTGTTATGGTATGTTTTTTTAATAAAATGTTTTAAAGATTAAAAAAAAAAAAAAGGTCATAAAAAGAGACTAGATTAGTCAGGCATGATCTACCTGCTACGAACCCGTGCTGGTTTCCCCTAAGCATAATATTTCCTGCTGGGCTCTCACATATATGAGCCTTAATAATCTTTTCAAAGACTTTACCAAGGATGGAGGTGAGACTGATTGGCCTGTAGTTACTTGGATCCTCCTTCCTCCCCTTCTTGAAAATAGGGACCACATTGGCCCTTTCCAGTCCTCCAGGACCTGGCCTATGCACCACGAGCACTCAAATATTCTTGCCAGTGGCTGTGCAATGACATCAGCCAGTGCCTTCAGTACCCTCAGACTGAGGTCATCCAGGCCTGCCGACTTAAATGCATCCAGTCCTTCCAAGTGACTCTGCACCATCTCAGGATCAATGCTTGGAGCAGGAGGAGCCCTTTACCAGATCCCCACAAAATCCCCTTCCCCACACAGAGTAAAGAGCCCACTTCTAGAGCCATGTGAAACAGGTAATTTGGAAAGCCAAGCACTGGGAGCAGCAGGTTACATACTGGAGTAAAACATCTGGTCTCAGCTACAGGTACCAGAGCTGTTCATCATGCAGAAAGGAAAGTGAAGGCCTTCTCCAGAACTACAACAACAAAAGACCGAGAGCTGTACCATCTCATACATGGGACAATACTATCATACTACAGAAATAAAATGCTCACTGGGCACAAGCTGGAGCCCCATTGACCTCGATTAGCCAGACCTTCAGTTCCTCATCAACCATGAAGTCAAAGCCGAAGAGCTGGAAACTCTGGTAGTGAAGGTGTTTAGTGCTGATTGCAGGCTCTATACACATAAGGCAGCTTCTGTGAAGAGAGAGATACAAACCCAAGTTTAAATACAGCAGTAGTCTAGAAACCTGGAGTATACATACAGCATAGGAATTAGGTATACCGCCTGACACAGGGAGAAGCTAATGGAAATCACATCTCCTGTGCTGACTAGCAACAGCCATGTTCCTCCCATAGTTGTTAGTTTTTCTATGGCATGCAGCCAAAAAGAGTTGGATTATTTAAAAAAATCTGACTTCTTTTGAAGCATATCTCTGTATTTGCTAAGTAAAGGTCTAATCCCAATCTTGCTGAAGTCTTTCCATTGTGTTGGACCAAGCCCAAATGTGGCTGTGACACTTCAGAACAACACAGGCTTAAAAAAAGAAATGCCCATAAGGACAAAGCAGGTTGGAAACCAAACCTTGTCCAAGCGTATCCCTCAACATAACCTTGCAGCTGCTCTTAGTGTTGCTGTGATGAATGGCAAGTATTTTTTATGTTATCTGATACAAGTGAAATGGCATTTAAGGCCAAACCCCTGTCAGAGGGATGCACAACAGAATGCTAATCATGCTGTCCACAAAAGCACCTTCCCATTGTTTGCATTTAGAAGAACAAAACTACCGTGTAACCCAATTGTGTAAGTGACCGCTCAACTCCAAATTAATGCTTGTTATCCATTATAAGATTTATTTCTCTTTCTCTCTCTCTCTCAAGCAGACAGTCTTGTTGTTATTCACTGGCTGTGGTGCTTTAATGAACAGGTGTAGAGAATATGTATACTTATACTACATGTACGTGCAAAATATAAGCATACATATGTGGATTTACCGACAAACTCTTTGTACATGTTAGCTTGGGTTTTCATCATGGCAAAACAAACATTTAATTGGCACGCAGGTCATTTTTCAGCAATGCAGAGGCTTTAGCTATGTCACCCCTACTACTGCTTATGATACTGTTATCAGTATATAGCCATTAATCTTAGATTTCATAGGCATTAGGGGTGGAAGGGACCTTGGAAGATCATCAAGTCCAGCCCCCTGCCCCAGGAGCAGGAAGTCAGCAGGAGTCATAGGATCCCAGCAAGATAAACATCCAAATTTCTCTTGAAGGTGTTCAAAGTAGGTGCTTGAACCACCTCGAGCGGCAGTCAATTCCAGACCTTGGGGGCTCGGACTGTAAAGAAGTTCTTCCTTATGTCCAGCCTGAAACAGTCCTAAAGGAGTTTGTGACCATTTGACCTTGCCATCCCTTGGGGTGCTCTGGTGAACAGACATTCCCCCAGATCCTGGTGAGCACCCCTGATAAACGTATAGGTGGCCACCAGATCACCCCTGAGCCTGTGCTTTTCCAGGCTGAAGGGTCCTGTAGTTTTCAGCCTCTCATCATAAGGTCTGTTTTCCTGACCTCTGATCATGCGTGTGACTCTTCTCTGGACTCTCTCAAGCTTCTCCACATCCTTTTTGAACGGTGGAGCCCAAAACTGGACACAGTACTCCAGCTACGACCTTACCAAGGCCGAGTACAATGGGAGAATGACATCATGGGATTTGCTTGAGAAGCATCTATGGATGCAGGCCAGCATTTTGCTGGCTTTACTAGCTGCAGCATCACATTGAAGGCTCATGTTCATCTTGTGGTCAATCATGACCACCAGGTCCTTTTAGTCTGTGGTGCTAGCCAGTGTAGCACTGCCGAGCCTGTAAGGATACTACGGGTTTTTCTTCCCAAGGTGGAGAACCTTGCATTTTTCGGTGTTAAACACCATCAGCTTCTCATCTGACCATTTCCTGAGCCTGTCAAGGTCAGCCTGGATCACCCTCCTGTCTTCAGGTGTGGATGCTTTGCCCCAAAGTTTGGTGTCATTGGCAAACTTGGCCAGTCCGTTTCTGACTCCAATGTCCACATCATTAATGAAGATGTTGAATAGTGTTGGCCCAAGGACAGAGCCTTGAGGGACCCCACTGGTCACAGGGCACAACAATTGACTTCTGTCAACAACCACCCTCTGAGTCTGACCACGGAGCCAATTCCCCAGCCAGTGGATTGTGGTGAAGCCGAGACCGCAGTTGGCCAGTTTTGCCAAGATGTGATCATGGGATACCAGATTGAAGGCTTTTTTGAAGTCAAGATATAGGACATCAATCTCCTCTCCCTTGTCCAGGTGATAGGTCACCTGGTTGTACAAGGAAATAAGATTGGTCAAGCAAGACCTACCCACTACAAACCCATGCTGGCTATCCCTCAGGATGCTGCCATCGGCCAGTCTGACCTTCCCTGGAATGGAAGTCAGGCTGATGGGCCTGTAGTCTGCCGGACCCACTTTATTCCCTTTCCTGAAGTTAGGCACCACATTGGCCTTCTTCCAGTCTTTGGGCACTTCATCAGAGTGCCAGGAATACTCAAAGATCCATGTCAGGGGCTGGGCTATGATGCTTGCCAGCTCCTTGAGTACCCTGGGGTGTAAGCTGTCAGGGTCGGCTGACTTGAAGGTGTCCAGCCTGTCCAGGTCAGCATTGATGGAGGGTAAGGAATCACCCTCACCCAGGCGTTCCTGTCCTGTAGTGGGCAGGGGTGCCCCTTGAGACTGGTGAAAAACCGATGCAAAGTACCCATTTAGCAAGTTGGCTTTTTCCTGGGCATCGGTTGTCAGTTGTCCCATCAGGTTTAGCAAGGGTCCAATGTTGCCCTTGCTTTTCCTCCGGCTCCCCACATATCTAAAAAAGGACTTTTTATTGTCCTTTGATACTTGTAGCTAGTTGGAGTTCAGTTGCAGCCTTGGATTTCCTGGTTCACTCCCTGTAGGTCCGGACCAGTGCAGAATATTCCTCCTTGGAGGTAGATCCAGTCCTCCATGCTTTGTAGGTCTAATCTAATTAACCATTAATCTAATCTATTTAACATTTAAATTCAAGTCCAAAGAAACGGGTCCTAATCTACCTGTCAATTCTGCAAATTCTGGCCAGCCCAGCAGCTCCAATGGCCACTGGTGGGTTATTCTCAAAGATTACTTACATGACTGGCAGGATCAGCAAGTGCCCTGGTTTCATAGCTAGCTGCATCTGCCAAGGGGCAAAGAATGCTTTGTTGTGTACTTGCTGCAGTACTATATGCTGGCTTCCACTCCCTTCTGCAGAGACTTGCCAGTGTAGGAAAGCAAGGAGGAAGCGACAGTCCCCCGATTCACAAACCAGGTCTGCTACAGAGCTGGGGTAAGGCAGAGCTGACCTGCAGCACAAGCAATTAAGTGTCAATGGGCAAGCAGAGGAGCACAGCTACACCTTGTCTGTCCCAGGGCTAACTCAGAGCTTCCCCTGACTAGGTGAGTTAGGACCAGAGTCCCCACCCTTTTGTGCCACGTAGGGCCCAGGAAAAACGAAGAGAAGCTTGCTCATGTCTTTCTACCATAAGCCACTGCAATAAAATCCTGCCAGTGAGAATCTGGCTTTCATGGCAGTGGAATAAGGGTTTGTAGATTCTGGGGATGGGAATACACCCATCTCCTGCAGAGAGTACTGCTCCCCAAATACACTCCATGTCCAGTAACATACAGATGAGGGAATCTGCCTTTGAGCAGTTCCTCTCCTCAGGGGTAGGGATAAATGCATAGAAGACCACAGAACCTGCTCCAGCTGCTGGGCTGTGATTTAGCTGCTCAGTGCCATGCTGATCCCCAGAGACGACTTGAGCAGGGCATGGGGTCCGGGGCAAATCAACCTGTGCAGGGCCCCGGCCGGAAGGAAGCTGATGGTGGATTCAGGGGCAGGGAGTGGTGGGGGCCGTTTGCTGAATGACCAGAGGTGGTGGATTTGGCAGGGGAAGGGGTGCTAAGCAGCCAGACGTGAAGCCAGCAGCAGTGTGGAGTCACTGCAGCTGCTCTGCCCAGCTCCGCAGGGCCCCCCCAAGGTGCAGGGCCTGGGGCAGTTGCCCTGATTTGGCCCCTCCCTAGGGACGGCCCTGCTGATCCCACAAAAAACATGCAAGAAACAGGGCTTTCTGAGACAAATTAAATGAAGGAAAGACTGGAGGGAGAGCCCTCTCGAGTCAGAAATACAGCCACTTATTTGAACCCCACTGGTTACAACCCTTGAACTAGCACCCAGCTATGTCAACTCTTACTAGATCAAGCTGCACTTTGTTGTTTTATACCAGAGAGGCTTGTTTTCATCAGAAGCCTGACAGTGAGTGAATCCTGTAGTCTGAGAAAGAAGTGAGGGACCAGAGTCAAACAAGCAGTTGTAACTAAGTCAAGTGGCACCCTTAGTCCTCTTCATTTCTGCAGACTGTAGATGACAAAACAAATAAAAACAATAGAGAGCATGCCTCCTGTCTGCAGTCTGAATAGCTTTCGTTCCCATTCATATTCCTTACATCCTTCCATCGTGTTACACCCTTTCCCTCCTCTTACACTATGCACACTCAAAACACTGCCAAACAGCAGTCTTATCTAGTTCAGGGTCTCAACTCTAATCATGGCCAGCACCAGTTACTTAAGAGGGAGAGGCAAGAAGCCACAGTGAAGTGGGCCAGTTGTGGAATGGCCTGTGAACAATGACTAATCCACATGACTAGTAGAAACTAACTTCATAAGCAACACCTGGAATGTCTCAGTATTGCACTAACTTAATAACAACTAAATAAACTCACGCTCCTTCCACACAGGAGCCCTACCCATTCTGTGCACAATGGAGAGGACTGGGTGAATGATGCAACTCTTTTACATGTCTGAGTATCACATGGGCAGATCTAGAATTCTGAAGGGGGGAGGGCACATGCTGTGGCACATAATTACATATAACACATTTTTCTCCAGTTAAAGAGAAGCTAGAAGTTTTACTAATATGCTAGGGTGATAGTGCTATATTATTCAGTTTAAAGATCAAAGCAAAATAACTATTGAAATGTGCTAGATTATTTATTAAGTTTAAAAAACAGAACAAACTAGGCAAAAACAGTCAAAAGCTATTGTGTCATTAGCCCTGTAGTCATTATAGTTAAGTGTATGTCTCTTATTCAGACTGAGCATCCTA